GCTTCTGTTTCCCGCCCGCAATCCGGTGCTGTTTTCGCCATTAAGTCATCTGTCCGACAGACGGACCAGACGCTAATGGCACGAGCCCTATCACTGCTTCCTCGGCAACCAATCACCATCTCCTCCCCATAACGGCCAATCCTAGCAGTCACCCGTACAGAACGGCCAATTACCGCGCCGCAGTGCGAAAGCCACCACTGTTCATTTAGAGACCATACACTAAAACCTCCACATCTCCATAGAACTACATAAAACAGTACAGAGCTAGGTGAACCGCTTCTCCCCACTCCATTTCGACCCCTCGCTTTCTACGCATTAACACCACCCGCTTGCTGGTTGATTACATCTAATCGAATCCAATTTTAACCCGATCTAATCTAGATACTCCAAACGATCTCACTCCATAATTACAGGTGACGGAATGGCGCTACAAGAAGAACAAGGTTAGAAGCTACATCGAGATCGACCCGGCCACCGAGGCCAACGCTGGACAGTACATGTGTAAGGCGAGCAACCGCAATGGCTACGACGAACGCACCATCACGATGACGGCCCTCTATCCTAACGTACAAGGTGCGTACCCCCTCTATCCCAACGTACAAGGTGCGTACCCCCTCTATCCCAACGTACAAGGTGCGTACCCCCTCTATTCCAACGTACAAGGTGCGTACCCCCTCTACCCCAACGTACAAGGTGCGTACCACCTCTATCCCAACATACAAGGTGCGTATCCCCCTATATCTTAACGTACAAGGTGCGTACCCCCTCCTCTACCCCAACGTACAAGGTACGTACCCTTTCTATTCCAACGTACAAGGTGCGTACCCCTCTATTCCAACGTACAAGGTGCGTACCCCTCCCTACCCCCAACGCACAAGGTACGTATGCCCCTCTATCCAAACGTACAAGGTACGTACCCCTTATGCCCTTCTATCCCAACGTAAAATGAAAAAGAAAATCAAAACCAAAACAAATCCATACGTACCCCACCCCTCTATCCAAACGTACAGAGTACGTACCCCACCTCTCTAAACTTCTAGACCCGTGGGTGTCGTAGGAGAAGCAATGTGCACTTTATCCGATCGGCAAATCCATATAGACCTACGCCAATCAGTGTAAACAGTCCTTTTACCAGTAAATTAACAAAGTCCCTCATTAATTAATGTCACCTGGCTGACATGTGCGGCTTACGTTAATTCCGTTACTTCAGAGTAAGTAGCACCTGTGCGCTACAGATTAATCACAAATCTCTAGACATTGAGCTCCAGTCGTAAAACACTTGCTATAGTTAGCTTGTTCTGCTGCTGCTGCTGCTGCTGGTGGTGGTGGTTCTACGGTTGCTGCTGCTGCTGCTGCTGCTGCTGCTGCTGCTGCTGCTGCTGCTGCTGCTACTGCTACTACTGCTACTGCTACTGCTACTGCTGCTACTGCTACTGCTGCTGCTGCTACTGCTGCTGCTGCTACTGCTACTACTGATACTGCTACTGCTGCTGCTGCTGCTGCTGCTGCTGCTGCTGCTACTGCTGCTGCTGCTGCTGCTGCTACTGGTGCTACTGCTGCTGCTACTACTACTGCTGCTACTGCTACTGCTACTGCTGCTACTGCTACTGCTGCTACTGCTACTGCTACTGCTGCTACTGCTACTGCTGCTACTGCTACTGCTACTGCTGCTACTGCTACTGCTA